GAGATTGGTTCCCCTAAAGAACTCTGAGTTAGGCAGACAACTAACAAAATATTTCCCCACTCAAGGGGGTCCTTAGTTCCCAATAGAACACCTAATTCAAGATTCTGAATTAAGCTTCGTAGTTTGTATGTATATATGCTTTTTGGTGGGGGTGAGGGGGTCATCTTGGACTAATACCTAGTTTCTGGAGCATTAAGCGATCTAACTATGTGATGCCACCCTATGGCAATATCATCTACCAAAACATCCTTGAAGTCATCTCTGATCCAAACATAAAGGAGAACTTTAAAAGTAAATACATATATCAAGACCAAAATAAGTTGCTCCTCACAGAAAAAACAAGAAATTGGAAAACAAGAAACAATTAGATGACTCAACAAGACAGCCTCCTAATCCATCTTTCCAAAACCTGGTTTTTGAAGAACCAAGTCAAAAAGCTCCAATAAGCAAAGCCATATAACTTTTCCAAGTCCAATGTTTACAAGATAAACCAGATTAAATAATCTGCAATCTCATCAGCAGTTCTAATCTAACCCAACTTCAATGTTTACAACACCCCATGATAGGTGATAATAATGATAATATTAAGGACCTCCAAAGCATGCAAGCACAGCACTTCAGAGAGAACTTTATATGCATTCCTTATCATGGAAATTAACCTAAATTTGAATAACCCAGTGAGCAATCCTGGGTTCTTAGGGAACAAGGTCAAGGACCCATCCCCAAGTTTCTCATCAATAGAGACTTGTGAATCTCGATCTCCCTCCACCTATATTTGAATAACCCAGTGAGCAATCCAATCATAGTATTGCAATAAAGGTAATAGTTCTGCTCTTGTCAAGTCACCTTCCCCAAGAGCACACAAATACACCATTAAAGCAGTATCCATCAAAATTGAGCTTAATACAATCGACTGTCAGTTGGATATACTTTTTTTTTTTTGATAATTGAAAATGATTTCATTAAACAATAGGAATAAGATTTTACAAGAATCCCTTGGAGAGGCACGAGATGCAGCCTCCCCTAACCGTTACAAAAGATCAAAAATAAAATTACAATGCTGCTCAGAATAAATGCTCCCTAGTAGACCCCTGTTTAGCAAGATGATCAGCCAAAGCATTTGCCTCCCTACCCACCCACTGATATCTACATGTTATATGCCTTGTAAAACATTTAACTTTTTTTATGAGATCCCTATAACTCCAAACAACTGAGTCTGGATTTGACAGCCAGCCCACAATCACCTTAGAATCCCCTTCAATCAATAGGTTCTCCACTCCTAGTTGATTGGCAATCTGAATTCCCTGTACTGCAGCCAATATCTCAGCTCTTCTAGAGTCCCCTATCCCTATCGGGCCTGAGAATAAGGATATGGTGTTGCCATTTCCATTCCTCAATACTCCTCCAATGCCAGACGGTCCTGGGTTACCCTGGCTGCTTCCGTCAAAATTCAGTTTAAAAAAACCTTCTGGGGGAGTTACCCAAACTATAGTGGCTCTGGTTTTCCTAACCAAAGCGTTATGCAACTGTGGCCCAATCTCTAGATGTCATCAAATGAAAAAGAGCTGAATGAAGCCAAGGATTTCAACCAATGGATATTCCTAGTTAAGATGCATTCCTTCACTTCCGTAAAAGACCTCTCTTTATCTTGGAAAATTCTAGCGTTTCTTTCTTCCCAAATTGTCCATAAGGTGGCTGCTCTGAAACATAACAAAGGTAGTTGGTGCGAATAATGATTTTACCTCTGCTGGTTGATTCCACCTACATCCAAACAAAACAAACATCCAATCCCAAAGAGCTGCAGAAAAGGAACAAAAAACCAGTAAGTGGTAACAGTCCTCACTATGAGAATTGCACAGTACACACCAATTTGGGGACAAACAAATAAAAGGCTTTTTCTTTTGTAAGTTCTCCAAAGTATTGATCTTACCAAGGTACACTTCCCAGCAGAAAACAGCAATTTTGGGGGGCACAAGCTTTGTCCAAACTTCTTTCACTGGGAAAGGCTCAAAAGAGGTACTCAGACAAAGGGATTTGAAGAAGGATGCACAAGTGAAAGAACCTTTTGAGATAGGAGTCCACACCCTTTTATCAGGAGAGGAGGGTCCCAAACAAACACTCTCTAGAATGGATAGAAGTTCAGTAACACAAGCAAGTTCCTCCTCCCTTAATCCCCTACGAAAACCAAAGTCCCAGTTCAAGGATAAAGGTAAAACTGGAGGGGGAAGAAGGACAAAGATAACCTCCTTTTTATAAAGGGAAAGTGCATACAAGGAAGGAAATAGGTCTTTTAGAGGTTGATTACCCACCCAAGTGTCTTCCCAAAAAAGAATCAAATTTCCGGAGCAAATATCATACCTTACAAATTGAAGAAACTTGGGGAGGACACCATGTATTGCCTTCCATGGTGTTGTTTGGGTAGCCCAATGAGATACCCCGGCATCCCAACTAAAGACAGAACAGCCATGAATACTAAGYACAACCCTGTGCCACAAACTTTCTCTTTCCAGAGGCCATCTCCATAGCCACTTTCCCAATAAAGCTTCATTTTTTAAGACCAAATTCCCTAATCCCAGACCCCCTGCCTCTTTACTCTGACAAGCTGTCTCCCAATTAACCAAGTGGTCCTTTTTCTCCTCCCCTGGTTCCCAAAGAAAATCTCCCATCATTTTTTCTAATTTCCTAGCCTCCCTACGGGAGATCCTAAACACAGAGAGATAATAGACTGGTAAATTTCTCAACCACTGGGTACCAAAATCTGCTTTCCCTAGGATTCCCACCCAAAGGTAAACCCAAATAAGTCAAGGGCCAAGAGGAAATAAAGTAGTCCAAATAGTTAGCAATAGACTCAACTTCATTGTCATCCAGATTGACCCCCACCACACAACTTTTTTCAAAGTTGATCTTTAGATTGGAAACTCTCTCAAAGTGTAATATTAGATCCTTAAGATTTCCCGCTCTTCTTGGTTGGCTTCCCTCACAAAAAATAATAATAACATCTGCAAACTGGAGATAAGTTACAAAGACATTATTCCTTCCGATCTTCCAACCACCTATTACCCCCTCCCTATTTGGCTTTTGATGTTAATCTACTCAACACATCCGCTACCAAGGTAAAAGGAAAAGGAGAAAGAGGATCACCCTATCTCAACCCTTTGCAGGCTGGAAAGAAATCCTTTACCACTCCATTCACTAGCACAGAGTAATGAACCGAAGTGAGGCAACCAATCACCCATAAGCACCATCTCTCCCCAAACCCACAAGTCCTAAGTATCTCCAAGAGGAAACTCCAATCCACCATATCATATGCCTTCTTAAGGTCCAACTTGCAAGCAAAGCCTGATCCCCCTGATTTCCTCGTATCCTCTACACACTCATTTGCTATTAGGATTTGATCGTTTATCTGCCTACCTTGTATGAAGGCTCCTTGAGCTTGACTAATGATAGATGGTAAGACCACTTTGATCCTTAAGGATAGAATCTTTGCCAAGATTTTATAGATGCTTGTCACCAAACTAATGGGCATGTAGTCTTTTGGGTGTTTAGCATCAATCTTGTTCGGAATGAGGGCTAAAAAAGTGGCATTTATTCCAGTGCTAATCACATGTCTCTCTTCAAACTCCTTGAAAACCTCAACCAGATCCTCCTTAATTATTCTCCAACAATCTTGGTAAAAGGCCATGGTGAACCAATCTGGGCCTGGTGCCTTTGATCTATCCATAGAGAACACTGCTTGTTTGATTTCTTCTTCTTCAAAGTTCCTTTCCAGACAACCTGAATTGCTCCCGTCTAGCCTTTGCCACTCTAATCCTTCCAACCTCTCACTAATGTTTAGAGGTCCTCTCATCCTTGACTTTAAGTGATCCACAAAAATCCTTTCTATCTCTTCTTCAAAGGAGAAGATTTCTCCATCAATTTCTAATTTGGTCAGTTGGATATACTTCTGAATCCCGAAGTGTCTTCTTGAAGATAAAACTGCAAAGATCTACCACCCCCTTAGTATATTATTTGTGTTAAACATCTTGTATTCTTTCATAGTCTTCACCAAGTGAACTACTCCAAGGATATCAGTTCAATGAATGGTGAATACCTTTGCCAGAGGTGGTTTTTCTTTTCAAATGCTCTTGCATATTCCTCTTCTCCCACAATGACCAAATTATGGCTATTCCGATGCATTTGTGCAATATCTCTTCCCTTTAGGAGGAAAGGAGGAAAGAAAAATATCTAAATAGAAATTTTTTGGTGATCTTCTTCCTCAATATGGCCTTTGAAGCCACATGGAAAGATCTAAGGGGAGGGGAAGCATCTTCACTCTAGCCCTTCAATCAAAGGTCTACATGGCAAAGAGGTTCTATTGAGCATCTACAAAATTCCATTCAATAACCTTTCAAACTAAACCTATCATCATCATCACCATCCAAGCCTTATCCTAACTATATGGGGATACCTATCCTTTCAAACTTGACTAAATCATGCAATTAAGTACTAGGAAAGAAGTTCGTTGCTATTTCAACACAAAACACATCATACAAAAATTAAGCAGCATGGCTGAACATCTTCCCCTTTTTCTATAGCATAGTTCGACATCTTTTCCCTAGTTCCAACTATAAGTAATGGACTGTAAAAATGGTTGGACATTGTTCCCTTTACTCCTGGCATTGTTTAACTTCATTTCCCTAGTGCCAATTGTTATAATAAGTATAAGTGCAGTCCAATTCAATCCACGGGGCCATTTTTCATCATAAAACACAATCTAAAGTGTACAAAGGGATGCTAGGTGCACCAACAACCTCTGGCAGATACAAAAACATCAATAAAGTCGAGATTTCCACAAGTTAAAACTTAACCAGTCTTATGGCTAAAGTAAATAATAATAATAATAATAATAATGGGTAAATGATGATATACATAACCATTTGCAGGAATATTTCAAAGAATGAAAGGAGAATAATGCTCACAGACAATTATGAAGTTTCAGATCGAATTTAAAACGTAGTTACCTTTACTAACACTTCGACCAAGGTTATTATTCGTACGCAAAGGATCAATGACATTAAAATACTTGGCAACAAAGGGTTGGCCTTGATTTTCATGGCCACTAGGGAAAACAGCATATACTGTGCTACAAGCATCAAGAAAAAGTTTGTTGAGTAATAGCTCACCACCATCCTTTCTAGGAGGTTCCGCTGCAAATTTCAAAAAAGAAACAAACAAAACACTGTTTAAATTGCTAATAAATTTAGTCAGAAAATGCAACATAAGTTAATATTGTACTTGCAGCACTCCATTTAAACCTGTCATATCTGGAAGTGAACCAATTGGAACTGGACCCCAGAGGCTAACACAGAAGTTGTCCCAGTCAAAATTACTAAAAAACTCCAGAAAGCGATATAATACCTACAGAGTACAGACGCCAAGAAAGAACCTTTAGGAAGAAAGTTATATAAGTCTACAATGTGTGTATGTGTTGGGAATATGGTTACCTCAAGTGGCCCAGCAAATTTATTATTGAAGACGTGAAATATGTATAGAACCAGGGTCTCAAGAGCATAAGTTGAAATAAGTCCATGATGAGCCCCCAATATGCGGCTTTCATAGTAGCACCAAGCCTTGATCAGTATAATGCTGCGCTTGAATAAATGGTTTTGACTTATCAAATGGTCAATCTGAATAAGAAAGGATTATTTGTCAGTGAAAAAGTAAACAAAATCACTTCTATTGCCTTGCATAAAAAAATTAAAAGAATGTATAAATATAAATTGTGGATACATGAGCCCAGGATTATATCACCTCACCTCATCAAGAAAACAAAGGGTACATAACCCACCAAGCTGGTTAAAGGATATGTCCACAACTATATTCTCTACGAGACACTTTATTATCTTCACCTGTGAGTAGATGGTGAAAAAAGATAAAGATAAATCTCATTATACCAAGTAAAGACAAAGAGAGAATTGTCAATAGCAGTGCCAACTCATTATCAATAACAGGTGCTGCCAGGGAAAAGAAGACAATCAATGACAAACCACAAGGATTTTAACTTGTTTAGCTTAGAAGCTGCAGGAATATCTATCAAGCTAGCAAAGAGATGATTCAGTGATTTAAAAGGTGCGCCTGTGCACGAGTTAGGCGCAAATGTGCTTCTGCCGAGGTCCTAGGCGCAGCACTTAGGAAAGGTGTGCACCTGGTGTGCCTTGTGCTTCAGCCCAGTTGTGCGCCTTTTCAAAATTTGCGCATTTTTCTCTTTTTTAAGCCTACAGTTGGGCCGGGGGCTCCACCCCCAGACCCCCCACTAAGTCCCTTGATGCAATCCCTCCAAGAACCCCCTATTTGCTAATGCTGTTTTTGAGATTATCAAAATATTCGCTAATAAGCCCCAAATCCTTTCTACTTCCTCTTCCACCCCCCTTCCTATCTTCTACCTCCCTCCCTTCTAAACTCACTGCCCTACCTCCACTCTCCTTCCTCAAAATAACAGGTTGTGTAGCTGGTGTACCTGTTTCAGGCAAGGCACACACATCAGTAGCCAAAACTGAATGGACACACTTACCTGGAGATGGAGGAGGATCAACAATAAAGGTGGTTAGGAAGCCAGGTTTGGAGTCCAACACATCAGATTTAACCTCTAAACTTTGTTTCTGTTGACAGGGAATGGGAGTTTTAACAGCTCTGGTTGTGCCAATATCCTTCTCTGGTACACCCTTCTCTATTGCTTCCATGCAAACCTTCAAGGTCTCCTCTTGTCTCACTTCCCGTACTCCCTGTCCTTGCTGGGATACTAGGGGTAAAATCTCTAAGTCAAGGAAGAGAGTAATCTGCTCAACTTCGACCGCAAGTACTGCCTACCCATAATCCTTTGTTCCTTTTTCATCTTCCAAGAACAGTTCTTTAGTGTTGAACTCTCTACTTCATTCATATCAATCCCCACCGTTTGATCAATACTGCCCAAACTTGAGTATTCACTGGAGTCTGAAACGCAATCACTGGGGCTGTCTTCGAAACCTGAATCTGAGCCCTGCAACATTGGGTTTTGCTTTTCAGGAGAAGCCAGAGCCTTCCCTTTGGTCTGTACCCATATCATCAATGAATGCCACCCCTGGCTTTTGTTTGGGTTTTGCTCTGTCACCGATTTGATCAAGGAGGAAGAAGATGGACCGAAGTCATCATCCATCATCGGGCTTGCCTTAGGGCTCACATGCCCTTTAGCTTTAAGTATGTCATGTGCCACTGCCCTTTGAGGCCCAATAGTTGGGACCAATGGATGATTTGAGAGAAAACACCCATGCTATGACGACCCAGGCCCAATTTCCTTATTAACTCTCGCATGGTCACTTAAAGTGCCACATGATGGGTTAGTAGATTTCGACCATAATAACCCAGACCGGTTAAACACTAATATCCCAACTGGCTGAATCACCCCTTCTTTTGAAATTTGAACTTGGGGTTGCTTCACACATTGATGTCCACTACTCGCAGCCTCAGCGTAAGACCAGCCACGTGCCATGCCCCTTTCTATCCTGGTTTTATAAACTTCTGTCCTTGTTAGTTCATCTTTTCCTTTCCCCGGAGTTTGTTTTGCTATTTCAATGTCACTTCCATTCTCCTTTTCTTCAGCCATTTGACCTCTGCCACATAACCAATCTTCTTCTACATACTCATCTTCTTTCCTTTCTCTCTCCCTCCACAACTCAGCTTCAATGGCTGTAACTAACCTGGCTGAGTACAACACTCCATCAACCAGGACCTTTACCGAACAGGGGATATCTTCCAAATTCACATTACTCAGACATACTGCAGCTGAGTGGAGGTCTTTAACCAAAAAAAAAAATCCAATCTTGCTTTACACAGAGAAGCTATAGAGGCAAAAACATCTGAAATCCAAAGACGAAAAGACAAACCCAAGATCTGAACAATTACTTCGTCTCTCGCATGCAAATCCTTGGAGTTGGAGTGAGGGGTCCATTTTGAAAAAGTCACAGAGGTTGACTCCAATGGACAACACATAGCATGGAGTTCCATTTTCTCTCCTACTAACCCAAGAAGGGCTTTACATTTTTCAAAATGGGTTAAGATAAAGCTTAACTTCAGCTTCTTCAGCAATTCTCTTCCAGTCTTTTGGTGGGACTGTCAATGTTACAATAAATTTCTCCTTCCAATCATTCTTGAACATGTTGCAGACCATTCTACAATCCTTTGCTGTTTTAGCTATAATATGAATTTCTGTTGCCTTTTTGGGCTGCTCCTGCTCCCTCACTACAGAATCTCCATTGACCCCCTGTGTTTCTTCTACAATCTCCACTCTACTACATTCTTTAGCTTCCTCCTGAGCAATGAAATCCTTCAAATTCCTTGTGACCTCTTCCCAGCCTGTCCCATTCTTTCCTTCAGGGAAGCAGACCATCTGCTTTTTTTCCTTCCTCAAAGAATTCCATAAGCACCACATACCTTACTTTATTCTCCCTTCTTTCTGCTACATACCTCCTTCCATCAATGATCAATCTCAGTTGAATCTTTGCATACAAACTTCCTACTACCTGAATAGCATCCTCCATTAAGATTCCTAACAAAGATTACACCCCCATTTGCTAATGTTGTTTATCCATATATCCTAATAAGACTTTTTTTTATAAGTGACAAAAGACAATTAAAATTATAAATTCATTTTTTGTTGGGAATCTTAAGAATTTAAGACCCTAACATGGACTTGTTTGGGCTTGCCTCAAGGGGCTTGGTACAAAGGTGGCTTGTAGAATCAAGAAAGTAGAAAGTTGAACATTACATTAAATATTTGAAGTAATGCAACTGGGAAAAAAAATAAGAGATTGGGAGTTCTACATGCTTGAAAATGTTTTATATGTGTTTGATTATATTTTTAAATATGTTTTACATGCCATGTTTATGTATTTTGATTAAGATAATATGTTTTTTTGAATATTTCTTTTAAAATTTAAGTTTATATTTTTAATTTAAGATAATAGGTTTCTCTAAAACATTTATTTTCAAATTTAAGTTTATATTTTTAAGTTAATATAATAGATTTTTTAAAACATTTATTTCCAAACCTAAATAGCCTCTATATGTGCAAGGGTAAGGCTGTGTATATCTGTCCCTCCCCATACGCCACATTGGCGGGAGCCTCGTGCACTAGACTGCCCTTTTATTTATTTCTAATTTTTAGTTTCTATATGTGCAGGGGTAAGGTTGCATACATATGTCCCTCCCCACACCCCACATTGGCGGGAGCCTCGTACACTAGACTGCCCTTTTTTTTATTTTTTTTGCATTTTTTCAATTTTTGGGAATTTTTTGCATTTTTTTGCCTTGCTTCAGAAAAGGTGTGTGCTCACCTTGCACCTCACGCCTTGTCAGATATTCGACCAGACCTGATTTCCTTCCTGAAATAAAGGGAAAATAAGAGAGGGAAACAGAGAGAAAGGAGAGGAAGAGAAGAGAAGAAAAAGAGAGGTGAAGATGAAGAGACAGTTCGGTTGTTCTCAAAAGTGAGAAAAATCACACTCCCCAGCCAACCAGAATATATATATATATATATATAGAGAGAGAGAGAGAGAGAGAGAGAGAGAGAGAGAGATTTCTATTCAAAGTACAATGACCTTTGTGCCCCTCTTTAAGTATGGAACACTCTATTCAACCTCAAACATAATAAACAAAACAATCTAGAATAAAATACTCTAAAATGTCTCAAATACCCCTGGACTATCGACTCTAACACTCCCCCTCAAGCTGGAGAGTATATATCATATAATCCCAGCTTGTTACATATATGATCCACCTTTCCCCAACTCAACCCTTTTGTGAATAAATCAGTCCACTAACTCCCTGTATTCACATGTATTATATTTATCACTCCACTAAGCACTTTTTCTCTTACAAAATGATAGTTGACTTCAATGTATTTTGTTCTCTCGTGGAATATTGGATTAGATGCAATGTGAACAATAGCTTGATTGTCACAGTACAACTTCATAGGATTGTTGGGTGCATACCCAATCTCTTGGAGAAGGTTCTTCAACCACACTAACTCACAGGTTGTGTGTGTCATAGCTCTATATTTAGCTTCATCACTGCTTCTTGCAACCACTATTTGTTTCTTACTCATCCACGTTACCGGATATCCTCCAAGAAAAGTACAATACCCTGTAGTATACCTTCTATTAGACAATGAGCCAGCCCAATCTACATTTGTATAACCCTCTACTTCAAGACTTCCTCCTAATTTGTATAATAATCCACGACCTGGAGCCCCTTTCAAATACCGTACAATCCTCAAAACTGCATTCCAATGGGGAACCCAATGCTTCTACATAAACTGGTTAACTACACTCACTGCAAAGGAAATGTCTAGCCGGGTAAAGTCAAATAATTTAACTTACCCACTAACCTCCTATACCTCCTAGGATCACCAAATTCTTCACCTGCATCAGTGCTTAATTTGGTGTTCGGTTCCATAGATGTTTTGGCTGGTTTAGTACCCAACAATCCTGTCTCTTCTAACAAGTCAAGCACATATTACCTCTAACAAAAATTTATGCCATGCTTCGACCTTGCTGCAACTTCTATGCCCAAGAAGTATTTCAAGTTGCCAAGATCATTTGTTTGAAAGTGATCATGTAGAAAAACCTTCAATTTATCAATACCCAACTTATCATTACCTTGTAATGACAATATCATCTACATATACCACCAATAGGACCTTTAGCTTCAAAATCATAGTTGAACACCAAATGATCAACCTGACATTGCCTCATACCAAAGTCTTTAATTACCTCACTAAATCTACCAAACTAGGCACGCGAAGATTGTTTCAGTCCGTAAATTGTCTTCTTAAGTCTACACACCTTACTATCCTCCCCCTAAGCAACAAACTCTG